CCGCGCCTTCCCTTCCATCCCAAGGGCGTGGCGTACCTGCACGAGGGTCTGTCGGTGGCCGACCGGCACCTGGTCGAGCAACTGTTCGACTCGGGCGCCCTGCAGGTCGCCGTGGCCTCTCGCTCGCTCGTCTGGTCGCTCAGTGTCTTCAGCCACCTGGTCATCATCATGGACACACAGTACTACGACGGCAAGACGCACTCGTAAGTGAAACGACTGAGTGTGATGGGAGCGGAGCAGGGGATGGGAAAGGTAGAGAACCAATAGCTGCGCTTCTGATGTCGTTTTCAGCCGTGGCTTAGCGGGATGGACTAGTCCGCTCTATTATCGGATAAGGCGTCCGGCGTATTGGCACTGTGTAACAGGATTTGAAGTCGCTCTCGTATTTTTCAGCCTTATGCCAAGAACACATTGTTGAGCGATTGATTTTTATTTCAGCCGTCAAATTTAACTGAAGCTGTACCTAATTACATAACATTGATATAGGCGCTTCAAAGCTAAATTGCATTGAGAACATCCACCGGATTTGATGGATATCCTGCTTGCTACCAGATGAACAGAGACATCTTCAGTGAAACTGAAACCCGTGTTTACGTTCTTCACTTAGTCTATCTATCTCATGCATGATCAGTGATTACCAATGATGGTCCTGACGAGCGATCAACGGTGTGAAGCATCTTTTAGTCACCAGCGTGCATCGTGTTCATTGATATTCTTATTTTTTTCCATCGTCAAGTAAGCATCATTTATCCATTCATCATCTTTCAAGAAAGTATTGAGTGTTCACGGGCCTTCCGAGGGATGATACTCTTTTCCACTGTGTCACGGACCAGCCAGCATTCATTGGGTGGTGCAAAGTACCATAAAGCAGCTGCATTTCCTGTTGGTCTGATGTCTGGTGTGACCGTGAGTCGCTCCGATCAAAGGATCCCTAGCTCAATGCCGAACGGGACGCGTCTGTGGCTGAAGTATTTGACTTCTAATCATCATTCATAGGCAGGGTGTAGTTTGCATTAAAATGAGCCCCGGACATGTCCAATCTTAAGCTCGTTTCTTAAATGGGCCAACTCCACCAGTCTTCCACTTAACCCTCGCCCGCACATGGGGGGGGGGGGGGTGGTTGCCACCCCCCCCCCCCAGGCAGTCTTTCTGCTCTGCACTCGACATTTTTAGAGCTAGAAGGCTGATTTTTCGTATAGCTGCTCGTCTATCCTTTCTTGATGTCCACTGAAAACTTCAAGTTTCTGTAATTTTTGGTTTCGGAGATATGACCTTGTTTTTCAGGTCATGTCATGACCCAAATGGCCAATTCTCAACATCTTGCGTTTGCCATGGGCCTTGTGAGCTTTTGACACCCTGATTTCGGCCTTTTTTGCCAGTCTTACCTCCCACCTATCATGGAACATGTTGTTCGACGATGTACAGGGGTCAAGGTCAGGGTCAAGGTCAACCTAGGTCATCTAAGAAAATTGCGTTTTAGGCAAGCTGAATTTACTTTTTGTGAAGTTTTTTGACTGCATTTTTGGTAAAAGCTTCTCAGATCATGATTTCATGTGATATGGACCCAAAAACAATCGGTGCACACATCAGTATACACACAGACACACACAGACATACAAACACATATAATTGACCTTGACCTAACTTGACCTGAAATGACCTCAGCAGCAAAATTCTGGTCGGATAGTGTGACAAAGAGGTTCTAGCTGGCTTGGCACCAGAAAACAGCATCGTCATCGGTATTTGATAAGCAGCGCACTTGATATCCAACGGTGACCCAAAACAGCAACATTTTTTAGTTTGACCTGACCTGGAAGGTCAATGACTGACCTGAGAAGGTAAAACTGGGTATCATTGGATTCGTCTCTTCCCAAAGAATCTTTTTGGTCTTTACTGCTAAGCTCTATCTCCAACAGGAACGAAATGGCGCGGGGGGGTGGCAACCACCCCCCCCCCCCCATGTGCGTTCTAGGATGGGAAAATGGCATGTGCGGGCGAGGGTTAAAACAGTGCCGGTTTTCGTGCGATGAATATTCCACAAGTGGCCGCATTAAATGGGTTCGCCTTCCGCCTCGGTCCGCACCGAGTGTACATACCCGGGCTGAAGTCAGTGATCTGTGTACCCGAGTCCCCAGAGCGGCTGGGCCGCCGCGTGGCGCCGTGTGTTCGACCGACATTAGTTTCCATTACCTGCTGCATTACCTGGTGCATTAGCCGACACACGGCCGGCAGCATCAGTCTGTAGTGGGCCGACACCCGCGGGGCCGGCGCCGGCCCCGGAGACGCGTCCGACACGACACTGACTTGATCAGGGGCCGACAGCCGGGCCGATCCCTGACGAATGATGCCGCTGCACTCGTTGCTTGTTGATCTCCACTCAGCGCATAACCAGCTGTACACACTTGCTTAGTTGGATCGATAGCAGCGCTATAGCTCTATATTTTACGGTTTTTTTTTACAATGTTTTATAAGCGTTCCCTACGTAGAACTGATTTCGGTGGTCCCAACGCTCGTTTGAACTTGAGTGACCGACAAATGGCGGATAAAAACGGACGAATATGGCACTCTGGGATATTAGGCATGGCCCAGTTCAAATATGAGCGCGATCTGAGTTATTGGCACTTAAACTCCCACGCAGTCGCACATACGAGCCCTCCGCGCGCCTGTCCGGCTATATGAGGGCAGAATATGACGATGGATGGTGCTCATTTTTAGAGCCGGATGGGAACGAGTTTGTCATGGCGGACGATTCGATGGCAGCTTAACAGTCGCCGTGTATGTCCTCGCATTATTTTAGTCATCGCCTTTTCATGGCTTGTTCTTGCTTTTTTATCGTACAGTATTTTGTCTCCGGTTTTTCGGTTCACTGTGGCGGCCGATCGGCGTCGGTTCGCCCCGCAGTCGGGTCGTGCTCGGAATAATACGACAATTCTTCAGGGTCCCGGGGCTAATGGCACCGCTCCTTTGTTGCAGAGCTTGATGTATGAATGCTCGTTTCATCAGTCTGGCTCCAACACGAGATCGGCCCGATTCTCGAGGACCGGTGTTTGATCAAATTCTGGGGACCGGGGAGGGGGTGGGGGTGGGGGGAGGGGGGTCTGAGACCGAGAGAGCGGGCAGCGCCCAGCATTGGCAGCTGGCTCTGCACTTGCACTGTGACACTGCTAGAGCCAGTGCACCGGCTCCTTGGTCCACATGAGGCCTAACGTTTTTTTTTTTTTCAAGTCAGGGGGGCAAATTTAGATTCTCAGATGACATTTAAGATTCTTCGGTTTTTACAAAGCGCAAATTTAGAATCCATACGGTCATGATTGACATCTTTTCGGATTGAAATCTTTTGTGAGGATGCAGAGTTCGGTGTGTCTGCTTGATCGATATGAGAAAAATTGAACATTTTTTGGAAGAATCAACTAGAGCCAAAGGCATGATCTTCTGATTCTCCGTGAAATTTAAATTGTTGATACGCCGATTTCAGGTGATCTGAATGGTATGTCTATCCAGGGAGCAGTATACGATCTCTGCATGCGCCGAATGTTGTCAGCGCTCGGCCCTGAGCGCGCGGGTCCGCCATGCGTTGTATGCCATCTTACCCAAGGGAGCGCCGTGCTCGCCACGCTCCCGCCAGTATAATTGGAGGCCCAGAATGCACGCTCCATATGAGGAGCCTGCCCGAGTAGGTTAGTCTGAACGCACTGCAACGACTCAGAAACCACCTTGTTACGGGCTTGTTGAATAGCAAGAACGTGTCCGCCGCATAGGTTGTTGCTGCTTCGTTCTTTATCCCCTACCGGGAAGTGGAGTAATTGATAACACAAACCATTGATAGGGCAAACCAACGTATTGATCATATTGAATGTCGCCTTATTGGCTATCAGTGATGCTTATGTGCTCTGATTAGCACTCAGACATGAGATTGATATCGGGAAGGCGCGGAGACGTCTTACATAACATATCCCCTCTCTCCTTCCTTCCCCTCCCCACTCTCTCTCCCTCCCCTCCCTCCCTCTCTCCCTGTCCTCCCTCCCTCTCTCCCTCTTCCCTCCCTCCCTCCCTCCCTCCCTCCCTCCACTCATTCTTTTTTTCTCTCTCTCTCCGTCTCCGTCTCTCTCCCTTCCAACCAACCACCTCTTTTGCACACAGTGCCACTCTACCTGCAACACCGCTGCGTTATCCGTTCAGTTATCTACGTCTCCTATCCTGGCCTTCCCTGGTGCGCGTCGCCGGCTGTCAGCCCAGTGCGTGCCGTGCCGGTCGTTATCAGAGCGGGCACGTTCCCGTCCTGTCGTGTCGTGTGCCACGTGTCGTGTGATGCTCTGCCCGGGAACAGTCTGGGCCGGGCCCCTCCTCTCTTCCCCGCGCGCCGCCGAGTTACTGGCGTTTGTCTCCGGTAGCAGTCAGTGCAGACCGGCCGGGACTGAGTCGGGCCGCCGCTCGTCCCGGAGAGGGCGCTCACGCGGCACGCCGGGGTCTTGTTACGTGATCCTCTAATTGAGTCCCCTCGAGAGGTCGCCGCCCTTAGCAGCGGCGCCGTCACACGCCCGGCACCGTGATAACGAGGGTATGTGACATCCCGCATTAGTTGCTTTTTTTACGACCGAGACGGTATGGTGAGCTGCAGTATAGCGGCAGGGTTTTTGTGTGTGCCTTGGATATCCCAGAAACTGGATCTAACCTGCACTGAACTCGATAGTGGCAAGAATGGCTCCCTACCTGGCTAAGTGCCTTTCATAGTTGTCGAGATACATGAACACATTGAGCAGAGGAAATGCATATTGGAATGCTTACAATGCGGAGCGAATACAAATTCCGTTTGTGATGCGTATTTTCTTGCTCATCTATTCTTGGCTAGTGACTGGAATTGACAGGATAGCTAAATGATAATGAGATCTGTTTGTCACCTCGATTAGCTCTGTAATCCTGCTTTGAATCTGCGCAGGCAAGCAGACAATAATTGTTCATTGAGATCATGTTTGCGATTGTCGGATTCGTTTCGCGTGAATCCTGCCTGGTTTTCGGTGCCATGACTGGCGTGTTATAAGCTCTGCTTTGTATTAAAAAGATAATAGCTTGTCACTCCACCCATTGTCACGATCCTCCAGAACATAAGCGGCTGTTTAAACTCCATGTTAAGACATCGCTATCACGGCTCGATTACCGATGTTCTGCTGTAGGCCCAGCAATCAGTATCGTCCGAGCACCAAGTGCCTCTCGCTCCGGCTTTATGAGACGTTACCACTGCCTTTAGCGCCGTGGGCCGGCCTGTAAGTCGGGGGCGCCCGGCAGGACGGACCGCTCGGTGATGCGACTCCGTGGCAGGCTGGCGAATTCAGGGGGTTTCCCATGAATATATGGTAGCCGGAGGCTTTGATTGCCTTCTGAGAACTTTGGAATGAATTCACCTGGGTACCTAATTAAAATCGTACGGCTGATGAATGCATGTTCCAAGCATCTATTTGTCTTTACTACCCAAATACAGTTTTTTAATTGAAGGAAAAGCCAGTCTGCTTAAATGTATGACAGTTTCCTATAATTTTGGATAGGCGCTTCGAAAGGTGTTTAGGTTTCAAGAATATCCGATTGAACGCTTATTACACTAGGTGTTGTTGCGGACTTTCAAATGAAATAGTATGAGAACCACGAAAGAAATATATCCATTAATCTTGTATCTAACGCTATAGCTTGGCTGTTTACATTTGGTGCCCAGCCTGTATTCATCACTTCCTTGCGAGAACACAATGCAATTAGTGTTGGCACCGATGTCTTATTTGCGCTGGAACATCACGCACAATAAACTTCTGTACATAGGCCACAGGGCCGGAGCTACTTCGCAGAAATTAAGTTTATTTATTTATTTTGCTTATCAGCTCAATAGCCGCCACCAAGCCTTGCACGACCATCCTCAGTTATTGCCTCTGTGTCTGAATGGGCCGCGCTCCGCTGGTGATTCTGTGCTCGACACCCGTCCTTTGAAAGAGCGGAAATGATGTTTGGAGATCAAACTGCATTTCCGGCTCTGTAAATAACATTTTGTCCGAGATGCAGCGTGCCTTGCCTCTGTATTTTCTGATAAAAGCATTCATCAGTGCCTTTCATGATCTCGGGTCGTCATTTAGGGCGTGTTATGGTTTTATTAAGTAGTAAATCTTCTGCATGGGGACGCATTTCATTATGGAATAATGTATCATTCGGCTGAATGGGGAGAAACTATGACGGCTGTGTATGATAGTGGGTCCATTTTCGTCCTAATCTCCGCCTTTCTGCTTTGGGAGCGGGGATGGCCGTGAATTACGGGCCTTAGTCCGTGCTGGGTAAATGCGCGATTGTGTATGCATGCGACTCCCTTGGCGCTAGTGCTATCTTCAGCATACATTCCCGGAGTGAGCGGCCTTAGGAGGAAACTATTTCTAGCGCCACAAGCTCCCTGGCTGGAATTATTAAACTACGTGACATATTGGATCCAATAGTCGCCTTTTCAAGCAAAGGAAATGCTTATTGCGTATCTCCTTTCTCATGGACAAATGAACAGTGAACACCGGTGTTGATATTTATATTTTGAACTTTATTTGAATGATAAAGACCACCAATAGACCTCAGTTTTATTTTGAATATTTTTTGCACATATTATCGCTGACAGCATTACAGACGGCATCGCTTCTCGTTTTTTTTTTTTTTGTGTAGCTACCGAATGGTAATCGATACTGCCCGTGAGTTTAGATCGTCCCACCATCATTTCCACAGGTACGAGGACTACCCGATCACGGACGTGCTGCAGGCGGTGGGCCGCGCCAACCGCACGCGCGACGACCACGACTCCAAGTGCGTGCTGCTCTGCCAGTCGTCGCGCAAGGACTTCTACAAGAAGTTCCTCTACGAGCCGATCCCGGTGGAGAGCCACCTGGACCATACACTGCACGACCACTTCAACGCCGAGATCGTCACCAAGACCATCGAGAACAAGCAGGACGCTGTGGACTATCTGACCTGGACGTTCCTGTACCGTCGGATGGCGCAGAATCCCAACTACTACAACCTGCAGGTGGGTGGTGGGAGGGGAGGACGGAGGTAGGGGATAGGGAGAGACGTGTAAAGGACAGGAAGAGACGGACGGAGGAGCACGGGAGGGGAGAGAGATGGAGGGAGGAATAGGAAGGGATAAAGGAAGGAGACAGAGAGGGATGAAGTAAGCAGACAGAAGGGATGAAGTAAGGGAACAGGAAGGGACAGAGTGATGTGACAGGGAGGGATGGTGGCAGGGGGCAGGGGACGGAGGAGGGGATGGTTACACGGTTACACTACACAGCCCACGCGTCTCGCTGACATTCGTGTCGGCGGCGATGCGATGAGCCGGCGTTGCGGACCGACATTTTCCATATGACCGTGTACGGCGCTAATCACGTTCCATGGATGATTAATGTCAGCCGCGGCCAATGAGCGTCAGGCGGGGTCGCAGATGAAGAGGTTAATAGGATGGCCTTCTGACGGCCCGGAACGTGTAACACGGAAGTGGCGTTGCTGTCAGCCTGCCGTGGGCGACTGCCCAGCGAGTGGTATGAACTGGTGTGATCCAGATCTGCTCCGCGACGTTGTAATTTGTTTGCAATGTGGATGTCAGAAGATATATCGAAAAGTAAAAGGAAATCAAATTAGCACGAGGGTGAGTTTTCTACTCCCTACTCAGTCCTTAGACAATGTCATTGTCTTAGTCAACATTGCAAGTCCCTTTGAAGCTGGATATATGAAGCGAGGAGCTTGATTGTATACGATAGGAGGTTCGCAGAAGCTTTAGGTCACTGAATGCTCTGAAGCTGCATCCACTCTACTAAGCTCCCTTGATCATCCCTTTGCAGTCAGTTGAGGCGATTCTTTCCGCGGGCCAACTGAAATGCCTCTAATCCGCCCTCCCTTCAACCACAACAGACATTATTTACACCGCGATAGAACTTAATCTTCTTCGGTTCACCATGTACAATGGAAATTGGAATTAATATCGATCTTTCTGGAGGCTGAGCTAATGGCGTGATCGCATCATGTTGTAGAGATCAGGGCAACATTGTCTGAAGATGATTTTAGGGATCATTCCGCCTTGGAGTTCCATGTTTACAATGTCAGCCACCATCCAAGTGTTCATCCACCAGTTGTCGAAAAACAGCTTCATTTCCAAAGATTTGAGACGTAGTGCAAGATTCGATGCCTGGCCATGCGACTGGAAAATGAATTATACGAATGGATTTTATAGAGGTCAGGGGATTTTGTATGCGAGGGCGTATTTACAATGTGTACATTGTGTGTTTGCTATGCTTGTGTTGTATTGCAGGGCTCCCTCTCTTGCCTGCGCTCGCTTTGGCTTTGTCTCAATTCCGCCCCCAATGTGCGCTCGCGACGCTCCTGGGCAAAGATTTGGCGAGTGTTGTGGCGGAGTTCTCGACCGTTCGGCTCCAGAAGCGGCGTTCAATAGACTGAGGCGCATGAAATGAACTGCCGGAGTCAATCGGCGGAGGGTGGATGGCGTCGTGTTCTCTGTGAGCTTTGGGCCGCTGAACTAGCCTTCCTATCATGACAGGGTTACCGCCTCCATTTTCCGTCAGAGGCATATATATATTCAGCTCCTATGTTGGTGGAGGTCTCCGGTGGCCTTTGTTTTCGGAGCTTTTTCTAAGCTCAGGTTAAATGTGGCCGGCCGGCAGCTGGTCTTATTTCTTATCGCCTCCCCGGCTCTCGAGTTCCACGGCCGAAGCCACTCTGTCTCAACCGGAGTCTGAAAAGGAAGTGTGAAATCTTACAACCGTCTCGCATGGTATTCAGTCAAAGCACTGCTGCTTAGTGCTTTCTCTAACTGAACGGCGAACGCGCGTTGTGTTGCTTTTTGCAATTATTTTGTTTTTTTACATTCGGTTAAAGTTTTTTGATTTGTTCTATAATAGGTGGCATATCGCAATTAATTACAGGTCCGTGGGTAGGCGTTGCCCATTGCTGTGCTTTTTTTTTTACTCAGACACTTGCGTCCTTTGGTCACGGGCCAGTATTTTACGGAAATGGACAGGTTTATCGATTCTAATGTATGCATTCTTTTCATCCAAACAAATTTGGATTTTTTCATAGAATAATGGGTGTCTACTAAATAATGAGAAAAAGTTCAAGCAGTTAATACGCACCTTTAATGGTTATACGTAATGTGCATAACTCACATAGCGAAAGACCTGTCTGTTGCTAATGTTAAACACGCAAAACGAAAACCTAACATCTATGTAGTGGTCAGCCGCCAGGAGGACGCTGGCTGGTATGATTGCCATGGGTGATTTTGGTGGAAACAGAAGTGCTATGAAAAAATTGATTGGGATCGACGTAATTGGTTCCGGACCCACAATATTTCTTTGAAGAGTAATTGGAAACAGACAATATTTAACACTTACTTATGCTTCATGTTTGTCACAGAAGTGCACGTACGTTTCCTTCTCAGGCAAGCTGAAGGGTTCTTAATGCTACAGGCCAATCTTATCCTACAATCGTTGATGTATTGCGGTCGTTTGTTAGGATAGCTGAGCTCTACATTGATCCCCACTGATGGCTTGGCGGTGCAGCGCTGTTCGCTCTATTACTTGTTGGCCGGCATCACCGTTCCCCTTCGCCGGATAAGTAAGCCGTTTTTTAAAAAAAGCTGTTATGGCTAGGCGAATTCAGTCTGCAGTCAATTGATGGGGTGGAGCTGAACAGAAGAAATGTATAAGAGCTTTGAAAGAAGGCTATACTCTTGTTTTATGACAGCTGTACCTATGGCTTCTATAAACATTCAACCTTGCTTACGCTTAGTGGGTCGGTTTAATTATTTGTCAAATTATTTATGCATATTTAATGCAGCTTATGCATAAACATAGCCAGCATTTCCAGTGGCGTTTCAATGATATCCGACTTATCCAGCTCCACATCCGATGGTGACTGAAAATCGACCTTATTGGATGTTTGGAGCTCAGCTCAGTGGCAACTTCCTCCTGCAAATACCACGGATGGTTCTATTGTGGACGTCAAAATCGCAGCCGGCGCATCATAGCCTGCCTGGGCTCCATTGATCCAGCGAAAGAGAACCACCTTTCGGAGTATGTGCCCTAACATCGAAATCCACTGCGCCAGCCTCAATGGCATTCTGGGGCGGAGGATTTATTGATGGTCGCTGCGAGATGTTGTGGGTCTATTCCCGGACCAGTATCGTGAAATGCTGGCAAATTTCTGACAATTGTATGCATCACAGCGTATCTAACTCCACTGCGCAATAAAACATAAGTTATGTGTCTCAGAATTTCCTGTGAGAAGCTGTGAGCTATGCGAATGCAACTTTCGTATGGTAATGCGGTCTTGGCGCTTGAAGATGTGTCACGTTCAGTGGGCATGCTTTGGAATTGTTGGAGATGATTCGGTCTTTGAAATTCGTTTTTGTTAATATAAGGAATAGCATTGTTAATTAATTCGAAGTTTTGAAGGCAGATTTGACGAATGACGGGTGGTTCAAAAGGAACGTGACGATGGTCAGCGGTCACGCATTGTATTATTGTATCTCATTGAATTATTTCCAATGGATGGAAGCTTTTGAATGTCATGGCGGCGGTATTTTGTCCCCATCGGTAAATGTTAACCATCATCGATGAGTTCTGACTTCTGATTTGTACACAAAGTACGCTGTTACGGTACTAGAGTAAAATTCACCGTGACGTCTGGTGGCGTAGCGATGAACTGTTCCAGGTCGAACGCGCGATATGGTTACTGCGAGTGACCGTTTCATATCCTCTTGTTTGCCATAATGCTCTTGGATATTATGTTGCACGCACCAATGCCAGGCCGTCAATGCTCTATACATTTTCCAGGAAACTCTTCAACTATTCCAAAGTCTCTTAGAGCACCTTCATTATTGAACGTCGCTAATTACAGGTTCGATCCGTTCTGAACTAGGGGGATATAAACTAATGGGTTTGAAAATTGAGCACATTCGAAGCTAATGAGGAGGATTGGAAGTGGCCCGGTTTCAAAAAGCCTGACTGAAGCCAACTTATATGCTGAATCTAACAACAAAATACGTAAATCAAATAAAATTCAACGTCAAATAGCTCAGAGTTTCTTTTATAAAATGATTTGCTATGGACCTATAGTTCTCGGTGCTCGCGAAATCAGAGCACGTCTATCAATAGTCGTTAGTCTATTCGCCATTATTCTGGCAAAAAAATCACGGCCATCACGGCCGGCTCTGATGGTGTTGGGCGGTGATTAGGTCGATGACTTTCTAATTGCTCGTTAAAACACCATCAGTGACAGATGGGCTGGATGGATGTAATTTGGCGTTACCAGAGATAGGGCGGGCGGTTGTGATGAGACGGTTCACTGTATTAAATGAGACGTCCTTTAGAGAAACGACCGTCTCGTCGGTGTGCTTTCGGAGAAGGTCGTCTCAGGAAAATAGCGGCGGGGTGCTCTCAGCTCGGCCGGCATCGTTTCGGTTCGATTCTGAGCTGTGGATCGGGTCTGACCGTCCGACGTCGCAGCTCCCCAAGGCTGACGTGTTCGACTCTCTCCGGGTCCACGGCTGGGCCCTCTGTTCTCACACATGACGGGTGCATCGATTTTCAGCCCTCTGTCTATCCGTTCTGAGTGTGCGACTGGTCTGTCCAGTCGTTCTCGGGATGTCTTTCCAATAACATTCCCTAACCAATGTCACCCCCTCTCTCAGTTCGTGACTAAACCATCGCTCCGTTCCAGGGCGTGACCCACCGGCACCTGTCGGACCACCTGTCCGAGGTGGTCGAGAAGACCCTCTCCGACCTGGAGCAGTCCAAGTGCATCACTGTGGAGGACGAGATGGACGTGTCGCCGCTCAACCTGGGCATGATCGCCGCCTACTACTACATCAACTACACCACCATCGAGCTCTTCTCCATGTCGCTGAACGCCAAGACCAAGATCCGCGGTCTGATGGAGATCATCGCGTCAGCGGCCGAGTACGCCGAGCTGCCGATCCGGCACGGCGAGGACACCCTGCTCTCGGGCCTGTACCAGCGGCTGCCCAACAAACTGCAGACGCCCAGGTCAGTCGGTCGTGCTTACGCCGGTACATCCGCCGTCGTGTGAGTTATAGGGGTTAGTGGCCGTGGGGCCCGAGTTATGTGCACGGAGTTATGAGCACAAATCCGTGGGCTGGGACGAGTCTCTATGGCGGGCTTGTTAGTGTGTGCCGAGATGGGTCCCCAGGTCAGTGAATATATAGCGTTTCTTTACTACACCCTCGGGGAGGATCTGGGTTTAAGTAACAAAGCGGCGACGACATGCCGGGAATGGCCGAGGCGTTCACTGGAGTTCCCCGTAGACTGCTGGGAATACTCGTAGGACGCTTGTTTTTAATCGCTTTATGACTTAGAAGCAAGGAACAAAGGCGCCACACGTAGTTATTAGGTTACCTCCATAGGCTAGCAGACGTACTACTGAGGACGGTCCTAGCTGGAAATGCACGTAACCTTATGAAAGATGATCGTTTCTATTCTACGGGCACTGCCAGTCTTTTGGCTGTCAGTTTTATGACTGTGGTCTGCACATATCAAAGCCTTGTGGTCTGTCATGGGATGATCTGCAGCCGCGCTCACCTCAGTCCCCTGCGGGAAAATTTTGACATTGTGATCGATATGCGAAACATCATATCTGCTTACTTACGAGGAGCCATGATATTGGCTGCGTGAAATCACCGACAGCTAAGAATACTTCAATGATTTTTCGTAATTTATGGTGCCCTGGCCCCTGCGCCAACCAAGTCGTGGACCTCTGAAGTGAATCCGCGCCGATAATGCGACATCGGACGGCGTGTGCGTCTTTTCATTGCTATTTTATTGCCATCATTCCTTCACTTTGATGCTTTAGTTATTTGTGATTTACTTTCTTTTCGATTCCCTTTGGGAATCCTAGGTCTCTTCCTGGCGATATTTTTGAAATATAAGACGTCTCTGGTGAAAACCAGGGCGGTCTATCATGCGAATCCATATGTAAGGGCGACATCACGCCGTCTCATATCTGGACGCCGGAGACATCGTCGCTCTGCGACCGATTCTGGCGGCACTCTGTCTCATAAGGATCGCATGGAACCTTCCAGTCCCGGTACCCCAGAGCCGACGCGAGTGGCCCATATCACCCTCTGGCCGCAATGGATCTCCTCCCTGGGACTACCCGTTAGCGTGACCCCAGCAGCCGACACCGGTGTTGGTCGCGGAGACCCGTGACTGAACTGGCCGGAAACGAACGTGCTGCCCCGGTGGTTGGTCCGCTAACTCCGGCCGCCGGAAGGTATCGGCCGCCTCGCCTGTCGCCTTGTTAGTACGTGGCTAACGCGACTTTAAAGTTGGTGTGGGCACGTTCATGGGATAGCTGGTTCTCTCGTCTCTTGCTCTCTACCTTCTCTCTACGTTCTCTCTCTCTCTCTCTCTCTCTCTCTCTCTCTCTCTCTCTCTCTCTCTCTCTCTCTCTCTCTCTCTCTCTCTCTCTCTCTCTCTCTCTCTCTCTCTCTCTCTCTCTCTCCATCACCTCCTCCCGTCTCTCCTTTTCCCTCTCCTCCATCCCGTGTCCGCCAGTTAATTCCGCTGACAACTCTGTACAAATGGAGCCCTCCCCGGTGCTGTCTCCCGGCCCGTCTGGTGAGTTGACTACCTTTCAGCCCGGGTCGTGTCGTGAGGCTGTCGTCAGACCGGCGGGCCATGAGGAGACACGGTCGTTGCCGGTCCACGGGGGCGTGCCGCCGGCGCCGCCACCCCAGGGGAAATCAGTGCACGATTAGCCGGGCGGCCGGCCCGCACCCCGAGATTTGCTGATGGCGCGGGGCGTAGGGCGGTTCTGGCGCGTCCGACCTGCCCAGTGGAGTGAGGGATTACCAGTCTAATTTGATAGACGGGAGGGAATTATTTTTACAATTGAACTGCATGATGAAGTTGGGAATGTAGGCGAGGGATGATGAAACTTCTTCTGTCAATGTGCAGCTCGAGCTCATGACACTGCTCGGCAACTGAGGAGATTCAGTAGCCGTGGCGCCGTGAGACAAATGATGCGTCTCCGTGTTTAGAAATACAGGAGTTTGCGCCACATCGGTTTACCCGCCGCGCCTGGGTTGTTGCACCATTGCGTCATTGGCATTGCATCCCTGTGAAGGCGCATGTCCGCAGTTGATGACACCATGAGCAGCTGGACGTGGGCTGGTGAACCCACAGTGTTCCCAGATGGTATAGAAGCTCATCCCGCTGAACCCAGCGCCAGCGATGAGCCCATGGTGCAATGCAAGCTCTGTTGAGCATGCCCTCTGGACCATAGCCAGCTACTCAGACATTCGGACTATTCAGGCATTCGGACAACATTTGTAGCGTACGGTTTTGCTCCGACTTTTCACTTTGACAAATTATTGTTCAAAATTGTATCTTTAATTGTTTGTTTGTTTTTAACTAGGTGCCTAAGCTAGTGATACTCAATATTTTATGAGACTGAGAGAAAACGGCATGCATATCTGCTATTGGCTGGGTCTTGTCGGTTTGAAGGTCATCCAACAGACCCCCTGGGACGGTGGGATCCAGTAGAAATTCACACTCCTCTTACCACCGCGCCGGTCGGGGGCGGCGAGTGTGCGACTCTGATAACAAACTCGTCCCTTGGGGTGTTTAACTTTCTCTTTCTCATTTAAGTACTCATGCTTAATGACAGTGGGCTGCTCCAACAAAAGTGGACGAACTGAATTTCATTAAGTGGTTGAATGATAATCCTGATTGCATATTCTCGGAGCTTGTTTGGATTGTCCGCTCGGGCGCCTCTTGTATGAAGAGTGCTGGGAGTCTGTTAATTGGACTCCTCGGCATACTGTTGAAGAGTCTCAGTCCTTAGTGATATCCGCCGACGGATGTGGAGCCCCGCCAAAAGGCCAGCTGGAACAGGACTGCGATCTGTGAATGTCGCCTCTGCCACAAATCCTTTGGCAAAGCCGGATGGCGCCGTGCCCGTGTGGGAGCGAGTGGGGTAAATTGGCCGCTTTTCAGCAAACAGGATGTCGCAAAACTGTCGACAGAAATTTGCACTTTTTCAGCGCTAGCAGGTCTTGTTTTCATTTTACTTTCCAATGACAGTTAACTTCAAATGAAAGAAAGACAATCAATATGAAAATGTGACCTTTTTGAACGGTCTGCAAAGCGGCCAAGTTTCTTTTGCAAACAGGTGTACAGGTTGTTGAAGGTGTACAGATTGTGTACAGGCTACGCTAAGCTGTTCGTTGAGCGGAATAACTTGTTAAATTTCTGGTAATTATATGGCTCCAACAGTAGCTGGTTATTACATAAGTCACTCACCATGCTGTGCCCTGTGGGATATTGAGGCACTGTTTCCTTCTGGGCTACCCTATTCCCAGCGATTCAGAAGCTTCTAATGATGCCCAAATGCATTATTAAGCAGCATTGTCGCCATTTGTTTGAACGCTTTCAGGTCTTTTGGTGATAATGCGTGATAGAATAGCTTTGTTTGATATCTTTGTCTCATATGTTATTGCACTAAGAATACGAGTGTCGTTCACATACCCAGGGTAAAGGGATGCTAGCCGTATGATTTAAGTCTATGCAAAATATTCATGTTGTAAAAAGAAACTGGTGCTGATGCCTATATGATTGTGCAATATGCCTACATATTTCTTGCTGTATAATTTAAACGAGTTGAATTGACACCAGAATCTAAACTACTCTCCTCTCGCCGAATTTCATAAACTTTCGGCCATATTGAACTTCTTTGCATAGTGGAGCCCTTGGTTGTTGTGCCTTTGAAGTTCAGCTACCGTAGTGGAACTGCTTCTAACATTCTCCATCTCGCTGCTAGTTTTAAATAGTTGAATTTGTGCGGCGGTTAGACGCCTTGTAATTTTTCAGACGTCGAAGTTTCGAATTGTGCCTACTCGTTTTAAATTGAAAAACTGTGAACGTTATGCGTCTTTCCGGCCTCGGGGTTCGTTTGGCGACGGCTCGGCAAAGCTCCCGTTGGAGACCTTTCCCGGCGCTAATCTCCGGAGCGATCGGCCCAAGGCCGAGTTTGACAGGGTGTTTATGAGCCTGAGCGGCAGCATCGATCGCGCCTGCCCGTGTCAGGGGCTGCCATAGGCGCGGGAGCCGGGGGGTCAGTGGGGGCAGCTTGCCCCCCCAACTCTGGGGCCGTGGGGGCGGTGCCCCCACAGCTTTGAGATGGAATACCACACTTTTTTTTGCAAATGTTTTCTTTTTTGTTGAAAAAGCCGAGGGGTGAAAAATAAGTGGCCTAAAACCGGTGAGAAAACTAGATTTGGGGGTACCCTAGGTTGATCTCTATTATGGTGTGCCCCCCCAGTCGGAAAGTAGTTCCCGCGCCCCTGGGGGCTGCTTCAACTCCGCCCGTCCGCGCCTTCAACTCCGACCGTCCGCGCCGTCAACTGAAACTCTGCCCGTCTGCGCCTTCAATCCGCCCGTGAGAAGAGCTCACCTCGCCTACTACTACTGATGCTGATTTAATGTTGTTTGGGATTTGGGAATCGAAACCAAGTAAAAGAATACTGAATATCCATAATATTCAAGCTATATTAAATGTCGAGCCTACAATATTCGATCCACAGACTGATAGTCAAACTGACTGACGGAAAACTCGTTACATTGGTACCGAATGCACACGTTTCATACCAAAGCTAGAAAAAAGTAAATGAAACCTGCAAATTGCCGTTAATGTGAGGTATGTTTCTATACAAAATATAAAATCATTAGCGCGTCGGCTATCGGCATTGAAATACCATTTACATCTCTATCGTATGCGAGTGTGTGTGTGTGGGGGGGGGAGCCTGTTACTCTGCTGAATGGCATGGAGTCACGGTGTACTCGTATCTTGTTAGCTACACAGGGTCGGGTGTGACTAACATGTACTGAAGGGGAAGGTGTCTGTAAGGGAAGTTAATAAGAAGTTCGTCGGTTCCATCGGGGGTATAATGCTTGCTCTAAACGAGCTTGAATGATCGCTGCCACTGGCGTGAGTTTGAAATTTGTTTGATAAAATGTCATGTAGAAGT